TGCTCGTGCCGCTATGCCTGGTGCGCGGCGTCCCGGCGTTGCTGTATACGCTGCGCTCCAGTCGCCTGCCCGGAAGGCACAAAGGGGACGTCAGGTACACCGGCCGGGAGCCTCTCCCCGCTACGGGAGGCCACCGAGCCCGGGAGACGGCGGGGACCTTGGGCAAGGCACTTAGCTCCGCCGAGCCTCGGTTTCCGTCTCTGTAAAGTTGGTCTGGGGAGAACCCGACAGCCCACGGCTGCGGCGAGGACTCAGAGACCTTTGTCCCTCCTCGCCGGCGCCCCTCCCCGGGTACGGTGTCCGGGCCCGCATTATCTAGAGCTGCTTGTTACTCCTCTCTCTGAGCTGTTTCCCCTCTCTGAAAAGGCAGGACTCCGCCCCCTACCGACGGCTAAAGTCAAGTCCGGAGCCCAGGACGAATTTGATGCCACCTTGGCTCCAACCTCACTGGGAATTGAAGACACCCTAGGATCAGTGTCAGCACCACTGGGCCATCATGGGCAGAATCTGGGAATCTGAGCCCCAGGATCTTCTTGCCCCTGCTGCCAGACCTTATATCCTGCAGTGCCCAGGGCCTCCCTTACCCTAGTGCTCAGGGAGATGAACCAGCCCCACCACGTAGCTTCCTCCAGGGCTCACAGCAAACTAGGAGCAGAGGCTGATGCTTAGAGAGATAGCTAGCCTTCTGCCACTGCTGAATCCTCCACACAAGAGCCCAAGGACCGCACACCCTGTGCCTGTTCAGTTTCCCAGGCGGCAAGTGTGACCCTGCTGACCAGGACGTGGTGCACACAGCACTGCGGGAGACCCAGGAGGAGCTGGGCCTGGCCGTGCCCAAGGAGCGCGTGTGGGGCATTATGCGGCCTGTGTATGACCAGGTGAGCCACCAGGCCCCAGGCCACCCTTACCCCATCACTCTGCACCTGCCCTGGGCCGGGAGCCAGAACCTCAGGGTAAAGGGGTCACACATTGCTACAGATTTGGAGTGTGGAGGAGTGTCCTGGACCTGTCTGCCAATCAGTTCTTCATCCGCACACAACCCCAGGGGCAGGGAAGGGCTGGAGGTAGCTCCAGGTGAAGGGGTGAGCCAGCTCTACTCAGCTGGGGACAGGAAAGCTTCACAGGGTAGGTAGGGATTGATCCTGGGCTTAAATGACAAATGAAAGATTTTAGGGCAGTAAAGGGAAGGGCAGGATGTCTTAGGTGGGGGAAAACCATCTGCAGAGGACCAGAGGCATAAACAGGCCTAGTGCACTCGGAACCATTATGGAAGAGTCAGTAGGCATGGATGGTGTGAGAACAAGAACGGGCTGGCTGAATCAAAGGCTTCTGGATGGCAAATAGCGTCTTCCTCTCAAACTCCCCAAAGTCCATACCTCCTGACTGCCCACCCTCCTCCCACCCCAGGCAAAGGCCACTGTGGTACCTGTGCTTGCCAGCGTGGGCCAGCTGGATCTGCAGAGCCTCAGGCCCAATCCCGAGGAGGTGAGTGGGGGAGACACTGGGGAACTGGGCTGACCCAGAGGATACAGAGGCTGGTCCTCTGTGCACCCTCTCTGCCTGCTGCCCACAGGTGGAAGAGGTGTTTGTACTACCCTTGGCACACCTGCTGCAGACCCAGAATCAGGGTTATACCCACTTTTGCCAGCATGGCCACTTCAGCTACACACTGCCTGTCTTCCTGCATGGACCACACCGTGTCTGGGGACTTACAGCTATCATCACTGAGTTCACCCTACAGCTGCTAGCCCCTGATACCTACCGACCCTACCTGGTCAGCCCTCTGCTGCTCAGTGGCTGAAGGCCTGTCCTCCAGGACTGAATAAAGTATATGGACACTCTAGGCTCCTGCACCTTCTGTATGGAAGCCCTGACTTTGGACAGACACTGAGGCCACTGGTGGGCCAGAAACAGTTTCCCACAGCAGGGGCACTCCCTGTGTACTTGGAGTCATTTCATTTCACTCTCAGCAGCTTTGTGCAGTCCCTGGCTAGTAAAGCTGGAGCTCAGTGGGGATAGAGAATTTTCCCTAGGCCACCCCTAGCTGTGATTTGAACTTGGCCTCTCAGGCTTGGAAGCCCACCCTCTTACTGCCAAACTGCACAGGTCTCCATGTGTGTCTTTCATCATCTTCTTTGTGCCTGGCTGCCCCATGCTGGGCTTTGGGATCCAGAGAAGAGTCCATCACAGTCACACCTCAGATGCTACACGATGAGCCCCTGCTGCATGCCACACAGTGTGGGCACCTGACAGATGCCCTGTCCTCCCGAGTGGAGGGTGCTCAGTCCAGGGAGAACTTAGACCAGTTCATACAGATAATAGTATGACTGTACCCTAATAAATCACAGACAATAGTGAAATTATACATCCATTATGGAAGAGCAGGGTTCTATGAGGCAGTTGAGGGGTGGTGGTCCAACCTTGACATAGTGGTATGAGAAGACTTCTTGGGTGGTATCAGCCAAGACAAGCAATAGAAAACTCTGCCCACCAGCTAGTCTTATCGAAGAGAACTGTTCATCACAAACTCCAGAGATGACTAGCTTCAGGCGTGGCTGAATCCAGGGGTTCAGTACCACCCCCTCTCCTCCACTGTACTGGTCTCTAAGGGGGTTGTAGAGTCCAGAGATATCAGAGATGAGGAAAGGTCAACAGTTCTAGGATAGCACAGCACCACCATCTATCTCAAGAGGCAACAGCTTCTCTTTGCTAGGCAGTCTAACTTAGAATTGTACTTCATTAGCAGCCTTAGTCACATGCCCTTTTCTAAGACTGTCACGTGGCCTGCTAGATTTAGGGTACTTGGCAGGGCCTCAGGTACAGATGTAGGGAGGAGGCTGAACCCCCTGGACTGAAAGAGAAAGGTGACCCCCAAGGAATACTTGAGGCTCATACTGTATACAAAATGCATTAAAGACTTCAATGTAATGCTTGAAATGGCAAGACTACTATGAGAAACCATAGAGGAAATGTTCCAGATATTGGTATGGGTAATTATTTCCTTTATAAGTCCCCAAAAGTGCAGGTAAGAAAAGTAAAAATATAAGATTGCATTAAAAAAAAAAAAACAAAACCCTGCACAGCAAAGGAATCAGTAAAGAGACACAGTCCAGATTGGGAGAAAATATTGAAGGCATATATGTCCAGTAAGGACTAATATCTAAATTATACAAGGAACTCAATAATGAGAAAACAACCCAATTAAAAAACAGGCAAAGTGGTGCCTGGCTGTCATCCTGTGACCAGATAATAGTGCCTTCTATTAAAGTTCTCTATTATAAAACAAAAAACAAAACAACAACAAAAACAGGCAAAGGAGCTGAACAGACATTTCTCAAAGTAAGATATATAGATGGCCAACAGATACATGAAAAATGCTTAATACCTAATTATCAGGGAAGCGCAAATCAAAGTCATGAGATTTTTACCTCACACCCTTAGAATAATAATAAAGGTGAAAGAGGTACAGTGCCTGTTTAGGGTGCACAAAATTCTAAGACCAATTCCTTACATTACAAAATAAGTAAAAAGATGAAAGAGAAGTGTCTGGAACATGTCGAGAAAAGAAAAATCCCTATATACTGTTGGTGGGAATGTAAATTGTATACCCATTCTTAGAAAACAGTTTGGAGGGTCCTTAAAAGAACTACCATATGACCCAGAAATTCCACTTGTGGGTACACACTTGAAGGAATAAAAATCGGTATGTCAGAGGAATCTGCACTCTCGTATTCATTGCAGCATTATTCTCAAGTCAAGATGTGAAATGAACCTCAGTGTTTATCAGTTGATAATGAAAAAATGGGCTACACACACAACAGAGTGTTATTCAGCCTTGAAAAGAAATTCTGTCATTTGCAACAACATGGATGAAGTTGGAAGACAACATGCTTTGTGAAATAAGCCAGGCAAGAAAGACATATACTGCATGACTTTGCTTTTATGTGGGATCTAAGAAAGTTGAATTCCTAGAACCAGAGTAGAGGTAATTACCAGAGGCTGGGATGGGGAGATTGGGAAAGGGAGATGTTAGTCAAAGGGTGCAAAGTTTCAGTTATAGGAGGAATGAACTTTAGTGACTGGTATACAGCATGGCTACCATAGTTAATAACGCTGTTGGGCCGGGGATCTAGCTCAGTGGTTCCATTGCCTGCCTTGCAAGCACAAAGACCCAAGTTTGATCCCCGGTACAAAAAAACAAAAACAAAAAAAAACACTATTAAAATAGTATATTTTAAATGGGCATGGTGGTATATTCCTATAATCCTAACACTCTGGGAGGGTGGGCAACTTAGCAGTTTATCAAGACCTTGTCTCAAAATTTAAAAAAACAATTTTTTTTAAATGACAGGATGTAGCTCAGCACAAAGACCCTAGATTCAATCCCCAGTACTGAAAGAAATATTTTAAATGTTCTTAACTTCTAAGCAATAAGTACTCAAAGCATTGGGTATTTGATTAGCTTGATTTAGTATTTCTATAATGTACACTTATATTAGAGCATCACATTGTGCTCCATAAATATCTACAATTACCATTTCTCAATTAAAAATTTTAAGTATACAAGAAAACCGGGAAGAAAGGGGGCTGGGGAGTTAAAGCTGGCTGAGGTCTGTGGCAGGGCTGAGGTCTGTTGCAGGGCTGAGGCCGGAGGTGGCAAAAACCAGGTGAGAGCCCAGTGCAGGCAGCAGGTACCCTGGGCAAGGCCTGGGGAGCTGAAGGCAAGAAAAACAACTTGGAGGGAGGGGAGGGGTGCCCCACAAAACTGAGGGTCATCATGAGGTCAAGGGATCCTCTTTCTTTGATGTGGAAACAAGGACAACCCTTGAGCATGGGTAGGATTGGATTTCAAGCCAGGAGAGGCAGAGGGGTTGCTGAACTGTTCTTGCACCTCAGAGGGGACTAGATTTCCGGGCCATAGATTGCAGGCCCCTCCTCCTATACCCACTCCTCCCTGCACCCCGCAACTCCCATGTGCCTTTCCCCTCCTCCCAATGTGCACCCAGCTCCCCTACTTCCTCCCTCCACCTTCCTTCCCTCCTCACATAGCCCTACCGCCTTCTTCCACGCGCTCCCCATTTCCACCCTTTTCGTCACCTCTGGCCCTCCTGCCTCCTCACCTTCGTGCAGGACCACATGATGGTGGTAAAGATAACTCCTTCTGACAGTGTGTGAACTGAGGAGCAGAGGCGGGGTGGGGGTGCTGAGGGTGAGGATGGGAAGGTGTGGGCTCCAGATTCTGCGCCCACTTCTGCTGCCTGTCACAGTCTTCGGGTCCCCTCAGTCACAGGGCTCTGTGGCCCCGAGGGCACAGCCAGCGCCAGCAGCCACAGACCAAGCCAGCGGTACTCATCAGGTGAGGAGCCAAGCGAGGTAAATGCTGAATTCCGGGTCCCTCTACCTGCCTGACCCTCCAGGCTAGGGTCCCTGCTCTGCCCGTCATGACCTCAGGATCCCGTGCTCTGTCCTAGGACTCCCAGGAGATCCCTGTGATGCCTCTACGCTCCGACTCAGTGGCCAGGTGTGGTGGCCCTGTCCCCAGTCCTCTCGGGTTTCCCTGAGCCCCCTACCCCATGCTGGAGCCTCCATGGCAGCCATGGCGCCAGAGGGCTGGCGGCGGCCACAGCGGGTGAGCATGCAGGAGCATATGGCCATCAACGTGAGCCCGGGCCCCATTCGGCCCATCCACCTCATCTCTGACTACTTCCCCCACTTCTACCCTTTTGCTGAGCCCGTGCCTCGCACCCCTGACCTGCTCCCAGCTGCAGCCCCAGCCAACCGCTCCACACCCCAGCGGCAGCATGACCCAGAGCCAGAGGCAGACTCGGATGACAGCAGTGAGTAGGGGAGAGGCCAAGGGGTCATTCCTGGATGGGGCCAAAGGCGTGCCTAGCATCCACTGGAGGATTGGGCAGGCCCTCTCTCATGGGGCCAGGTCAGCCAAGGCAAGGGGACAGCTGACTGTGCTGCCACCTGCCCTTAGCTGCCCTGGGGACCCTTGAATTCACACTTCTTTTTGATGCGGACAACAGCACACTGCACTGCACAGCCCATAGGGCCAAGGTGAGGATGAGGGCTGGGGGTCCCTGGGACTCAGGGCCACAGGCCTACCTCACACCCACTGTTGGTTCCCAGGGCCTCAAGCCACCTGCTTCAGGCTCTGTGGACACCTATGTCAAAGCCAATCTGCTGCCAGGAGCAAGCAAGGTGAGGGCAAGGCAAGACCCAGGCCCCTGTTGCTGCCCTTTGGGCCCCTGCTTTGCCCCTACCCTCAGGGCCTGCATCTCAGTTAATTTGATAAAAACAGTCCGGAGGGGTGGCTGATCCCCACCCCCGCCTGTCCCCCAGGCCAGCCAGCTTCGGACCCGCACCGTTCGGGGCACGAGGGGACCTGTCTGGGAGGAGACACTCACCTATCATGGTTTCACCCACCAGGATGCTGGCCGCAAGACCCTTCGGTGAGGATCAGGCTGGGGCCACCAGGGAGCAGGGCTGGGGGATGGGGCCTGTATGGCCAAGTGTAACCTGGGCAGCCATCAGGTTGTGTGTGTGTGAGGACCCAAGGCTTCGGCGACGCCGGCAGGCGCCTCCCCTGGGGGAGCTCCGGTTTCCCCTGAGGAAGCTGGTGCCTAACCGAGCCCGGAGTTTTGACATCTGTCTGGAGAAGCGGAGGCTGGTGAGTGGGGCTGTGGGGCTGAAGCCTTGTAACAGAGCCAAGGGGGAGGAGCAGGCAGGGGCACCTGGGCAGTGTGTGGCTGAGATGACAACCCTCTCTTTTTCAGACCAAGAGGCCCAAGAGCCTGGACACAGCCCGAGGCATGTCCCTGTATGAGGTGGGCAGGCCAGCTAGACTAAGCAGGGATGTGGGTAGTAGGCCTTGACAGCCCAGGTTGAACTACGTTTGGAAAGGCATAGGTGGGCTCGGCAGACTTGAAGAATTTGGAGCCGTATTTTTTTTGTGCCAGGGATCAAACTCTGGCCCTTGCACCTGCATGGCAGGCAGCAGAACCAGAGTCAAATCCCCAGCCCCTGGGGCTGTATTTTTCATTGGCTCTGAGCCCTCTTAGACCCCAGGAAATGGCCAAAGCCCCAATGGCTGAGCAGGGGGACCATGACACCCTTGTCAGGGGAGCATGACAGCAAGGGTCTTTGGGACAAAGACCTGACAACCTTAAGGTAGAGGCTGGAAGGGTGGTATCTGACTGTGGCCAGAGGTGAGAGGTCTGGACAAAGAGAACAAGTGGACTAGGCTCCTTGGCTGCTTGGGACCATGTAGGTGCCAGTCCTGGGCCTGGTTGTCCTAGAGCAACTTGGAGGCACTGAAGGTCAGGTGACTGCAGTTTCTTCGGCCCTATCTGAAACCAAATACCTGGCCACAAGCCTTATGGCCCAGGAAAGGCAGCCCCTACTCCAGCTCCTCTGTGAACAAAGGGTCTGGTGCTCACCATGTAGTGGAGCCAAAAGTTGCTGCAGGCACCAATTAGGTAAGCCAGGCCTATGAAGCCCCAGTAGGGTGGTGGATATCACTGAGCATCCTGTAACACCCACCTCCTGTCCCAGACCCCATGCACCATGCCATGGTACACAGAGCTGCTCAGAGTGCTCCTGAGAATTTCCTGTGACAAGGCAACTGGGCCCTGCAGCCTGGTCCTACACGAAGTATGGGAGGGGGGCACATCTTGCCAGGCATCTTCTGAGTTGGGGGCATAAGTATTCCAAGAGTGGCAAAGAACATTCAGAATCTGGCTCCCAGGACAGAGGGCAAAGAGAATGAATGTTGAAGGTGAAGAGAACTGTTCATCCTTGGGCCCTGAGTAGAGAACAGCCTCCCAGAGCTTCTATGGCAACTGGGCTGGCCCTGCAGGGAGTGGTTATGGGCGTTTGCCACTTATGATTGTCCTGGCATGCTTGTCGCACATCAGCTCCCCTCCCCTCCATGACAAAGACATGCTCAATTGACCAGTTAGCTCCTCCCCTTCTCAGGCCGTAGAGGGTACAGCCAACCCAGGCAAGTGGCTCTTTGGGGAAATGAAATCTTTGCATCCAGCTTGAGCTCTCATATGCAGGGCTTGGACACAGGTTGGGGGAAGGTGGGTTGGCTTTGGACTGGATGGGACTAATCACAGTCTACACTTGCAGGAGGAAGTAGAGGCCGAGGTGGCTGGGGAGGAACGTGGGCGCATCCTGCTGTCTCTATGCTACAGCTCCCAGCGGGGTGGCCTGTTGGTGGGTGTGCTGCGCTGTGCCCACCTGGCCCCCATGGATGCTAATGGCTACTCTGATCCTTTCGTCCGCCTGTGAGTATAAAAGGATGACAGGTGGTCAGTAAGGGCAAGGTTGCAGACCCTCACCTCTCTAGGGCCATACCTGATCCACTCATTTTCCCTACCAGTTTCCTGCATCCAAACTCAGGCAAGAAATCTAAATACAAGACCAGTGTTCGGAGGAAGACCTTGAACCCTGAGTTTAATGAGGTGAGCCAAGCATGGCCCTGGCCTGGGCCTATTTTAGAAGTTCTGAAGAACCAGCCTACTCTTTCTGTCCACTCCCTGCAGGAATTCTTCTACGCAGGCCCTCGTGAGGAGCTGGCTGAGAAGACGCTACTGGTGTCTGTGTGGGACTACGACCTGGGCACAGCTGATGACTTTATTGGTGAGCTGGAATGCAGCGTTTTCTTGAGCTCCCTGGGCCCCTGCTGGCTCCTAACCTACCTCTCCTGCAGGTGGGGTACAGATGAGCAGCCAGGCCAGTGGAGAGCGCCTGCACCATTGGCAGGAGTGCCTGGGCCGCAGTGACTGCCGGCTGGAGCTATGGCACCCGCTGGACGGTGTAGCTCCCCAGCTCGGCAACTAGCCAGCGGGCCTGGCTTGTGACCTCTACTCATAGCAGCCAGGATGACCCCGGAGCTGGCAGGAGTAGCCAAGCCTCCCCAGCTGTTATGTCCACATTTTACCTTTCCTGTCCCAAGTTTCACCTTCACCCATTCCAAATTATGAAGCCAAAATAAATATCTTCTTCTGGCCAGACCAGAGCCTGTCCTTTCTCTGGCTATGTGCCCTGTCTTCCTGGCCACCACTTCACAAAGCAGACAGCCTGTTATGTCTCCCACCCTGCAGAGACCTGTGCTGGGTCAGTTTCAGTCCTCTCAGATGCCACACCACCCCGCTTCCTACACAAAAGGACGGGGACACAACCATGTCTGGGAATAGGCCTCCATGGGGGTGTGTGTGGCTGGGTGAAGGGCAAAGTCACCAACAAGCTACAAGAGAGTTGGGGGCACTTGCTTTAATGCCTAGCATCCCAGACAGAGGCATGCGAGACAGCAGGCCAGGGCACTGGACTCAGGAGGCGGCTTGCCGGGCCTGGTGCTGCTGGGCAAACCGCTGCATCCGATCTTCGAGCTCTGGCCGGAAGTGGCGTATCAGACCCTGGGAGATGAGTAGCAGAAGGCACTGTGTGAAGCAGAGTCCAGCAATCCCCATTCCCTAGGCTCTTAGCACGTTCACCTAGAGCCACCCAGTAGGGCAGTGAGTACCTGCACAGGCCAGGCAGCCCCATCACCCAGAGCACAAATGGTGTGGCCCTCTATCTGCTTGCTGATCTCCCACAGAGAGTCGATCTCAGCTGGCCGTGCATCCCCCTTCACAAAGCGGGCCATCACCTTGTTCATCCAGTCCACACCTGTAGCCACAACAGCAAGAGGGGACTGCTGGTCACCCACAGCTAGGACAGGGGACAGTACTCAAGGAGGCAAGCCGCATGAATGGGGGTGGAGACCAATGAAGCCATGACAAGCAGACCCCAGCCTGTATGAGACACTCACCCTCGCGGCAGGGGGTACACTGGCCACAGCTCTCGTGCTTGTAGAACTCAATGAGGCGGGCAATAGCTTTCACAATGTCGGTCTGGGAGACAAGCCACAGTAAGCAGGAGCCCAAGGCCAGACACAAGCCTGGACCTCAGCCCCCAACAGCAGCCTGCCCATCTAGGTTCAAGTTCTGGCCTCTTCTAGCCTCCCTGGGCCTGAGCACTGCCTGGACTTCAAGGCATTCTGCAGAGCACCTGCGTTCTTCCTCTCCCACCCCAAGGGTATCTCAGGCTGCAGGAACTGAGACCTGAGAGCTCACTAGAGGGTTTTCAGAGAGCCCCAGGGAGGGAGAGCAAACAGGCTATCATGAGACTGGTGTGGGGCATGAGGCCAGCCCTTACCGAGCGGTCCATGACGATCACTGCAGCTGTGCCCAGGCCCGTCTGTGCCTGCACCAGTGCATCAAAGTCCATCAGCACCGTCTCACACACAGACTTGGGGATCAGTGGGGTGGACGAGCCACCGGGTATCACAGCAAGGAGGTTATCCCAGCCACCTGTGACACCCCCTAGGGCCCCGTACAAAAGAAGTCAGGGCTGGGGCTACCATACCTGCCTAGTCCTGAGCTAGGAGCTTCCCAGACTCAGCGCAGCTCTCAAGCCCCTCACCCAGGCTCTTACCCTCCCACTCCCCAACCCCCAGCCTCACCAGCATGCTTCTCAATCAGCTCCTTCAGGGGTACAGACATCTCTTCTTCCACTGTGCAGGGGTGGTTGACATGGCCAGAGATGTTGAATAGTTTGGTACCCGAGTTGCGTTCTCGGCCAAAGCTTGCAAACCAGGTACCCCCACGACGGCAGATGGTGGGGGACACAGCCACCGTCTCCACGTTGGCCACAGTAGTAGGGCAGCCAAACACTCCTTCAGAGAAATGAGAAGGGGCTCGTGGCTGCTGGGGAGTAAGGCACATTTCCTAGTGGTGGGATCTGTTTCAGTTTTGCTACCAGGCAGAGGGCCCATGCCCTTATTGTTCTTCCCCAGCTGAATGCTAAACTCGAGAAGAGTGGTATCACCTGTTCACCATCACACCCCTGGCTCCCAGATCAGGGTCCAGGAAGGCAGAGCACAGAGTCTGGGGGACCCTGGGTGCCTGATAGGAGTCTGAGGTACTGTGGGTAGTACTGGCCAGGGCTGCATGTTATCACCACCCCTTCTCCTGGTCGACCTCACCCCATAGTACTGAGGAAGACCATAAAAACCACCCAGGGGGTCCAGGCCAGACCCAGGATTCCATAGGACACAGAGAGACAAGGCCCAGGCCAGGCAGGGTCTCACCCACGTCAGCTGGGAAGGGTGGCTTCAGACGTGGTTTGCCCTGCTTGCCCTCGATGGATTCGATGAGTGCTGTCTCCTCTCCACAGATATAGGCCCCAGCCCCACGCACCACGAACACATCGAAATCATAGCCAGAGCCGCAGGCATTCTTGCCAATCAAACCCGCCTCGTAGGCTTCTCGGATGGCCACCTGTGGGACAAGGGTGTGAGCTCCCCAGCCCACCCCCACCCCCTACTCCCTCCCCAGGAGTCAGCCTATGCTTTCAGGGTCATATGGCCCTTGTAGGTTTCCCAAGTTAAGGGTCTGGAGCCTAAAGGAGAGCCCCAGAGAAGGAGGCTTTGGGAGCCAAATCCTGTTCAGGATATGTGCAGGAGTGGTCACACTACACGCCTAGCTAGATCCCTGACAGACCAGCGCAAACATCTAAGAACAGCTGTGCTGGGAAGAGCACACCCTGGATACCTTCTGTCTGTCTCTTCCCACTCACCTGCAGATTGGAGGCTTCATTGTAGAATTCTCCACGTATATAGATGTAGGCAGCTCGAGCACCCATGGCCCGGCCCCCCACGAGGCAGCCTTCCACCAACTTGTGAGGATCATGGCGCATGATCTCCCGGTCCTTGCAGGTGCCTGGCTCCCCCTCATCTGCATTCACCACGAGATACTTGGGCCTGTGGGGGCCCACAGGTCAGACAGACCTCACTTGCACCAGGACTGAGCCTAAACCACATGCCAACCCTGCTCTACCTGGGGAAGGCTCAAACATGTTTCCTTCCAACATGTTCCCCCCAGAGGCTCTGCTAACCAATGACAGGAAGCTCACTACCTAGCCCATCTTTGAAGAGTGCATATGTCTCTCTCTCTGCTTTCCCTTGAGAGCCAAATTTGGCTCTTAATCACAAAGAGCCTTCCTCAACCTCTGCCACATCTCTGGGGCCAGAAGAAGGGTAAAGAAGCTGACTTTTATTATTTTCTGTGTGCCAACCAAAGTACTGGTCAAAAGCTGAATGAATATTATTTAACTCCAGTATGATATCACTATACAAAAAAGAAACTTAAGGCCAGGTATAGTGGCACATGCCTGTAATCCTAGTACTCAGGAGGCCGAGGCAAGAGGATGGCCAAGAATCATAGCCCAAGCTAGTGAGACCCCTGTCTCAAAAAAAAAAAAAAAAAAAAAAAAAAAAAA